AGAGCTTGCATGAACTATGATAAATGAGATGAGCCTACCTAAGTATTTTTGGATGGATGCGATTAACACTACATATCACGTCTTAAACATGGTATCATAATATCAATCCTTGAGAAGACACCCTATGAGATACTAAGGGTAAAAAACCTAATAATTCATATTTTCGAGTTTTTGGTTGCAAATTCTTTATTTTGAATAATAGAAAAGGTAACCTTGGCAACTTTGATGCAAAATCAGATTAAGGTATTTTCTTAGGGTACTCATCTATGAGTAAAGCCTATAGAATTTACAATCATAGAACTTCTTGTGTATAGGAGTCAATTCATGTTGCTTTTGATGAGTCCTCACCCCAAAAGTCAGGGAAGGGTATATATTTTGATGATTAAGGTATTATAACGGAAAGATTGATCGAAAATAAAATTTTAAAAGAGAATCATAATCTAAAAATAAAGGATAAGGACATTACATAAGATAAGGAGGATATATTACATGAGGATGACAAACAAGAGACCTCGAACCAACTACCTCGAGATTGAACAATCGCAAATGATCATCTGTTAGATTAAATCTTTGGAGACATTAAAAAGGGATTTGATGTAGGGGAGTTTGAGATGTCACTTACTGGAGAGTTAACATACTTCTTAGGATTGAAAATCAAGCAAGATGAAGAAGGGACATTCATAAGTCAAACAAAGTATTTTCTAGATCTTCTTAAAAAGTTTGAGATGAAAGATTTAAAGACTATTTCAACTCCAATGGCTTAAAATCTGCTCATTGACAAAGGTGAAAGAGGATTGGATTTCGACATAAACAGGTACTAAGGTATAATCGGATCCTTATTCTATTTAATCACAAGTGGGCCTGATATCATGTTTAATGTGTGTATGTGTGTTAGATATCAAGCATCACCTAAGGATCCCCACTTTAAGATCTTTAAACGTATTTTGAGGTATCTTAGCGTAACCTTTAATCACATTCTTTTGTATCCGAAGGGAAGTGCTATTAGCATAATAGGGTGTGCAAGTCCAGATAGGAAGAGTACTAGTGGTACTTTCCACTTATTTGAAAGTTGTTAAGTTTCTTGGCATAGTAAAAAACAATATAGTGTTGCTCTTTCTACCGCCGAGGCTTAATATGTATATGCCGGTAGTTGTTGTGCACAAGTCATATGGCTTAAGAAACAACTATTGGAGTACGATTTAAAACATTATTTCGTTCCAATTAAGTACAATAGCACTAGTGTTATAAGTCTTACTAAAAATCCAGTACTACGCTCACAGACTAAACACATTGAGATTCGACACCATTACATAAGGGATCATATTGACAAATGAGACGTTATTTCTGAGTAAGTTGGCACCAAAAGTCAGTATGCTGACATTTTTACAAAATCATTGTCTTTGGAATCCTTTCATAAAGTATGAAGGGAATTAGGAGTCTTATACTCATCTTGCCTTAAATAGAATGAGGTTTTGGTTTTTAGTTTCGTTTGCTATATATTTTGATTACACTAACACTTTCTTATAGAAAATTGTAGCTTTTACCAACCTACAATGGTATGTTTCTAACCCTTGTATCATTCTATGTGTTTTGTGCTAGAGCTATGCATTGGTTTGCTTATTTCCTCCATATCTCACTAATTCATCTCTAACTTATGTTTTTGACTGTTTTTGCATGCATTTAAGTCTTTTAAATGCATATTGCTAATTATGTGCATTAAAAATTTTGGCTACTTATTCATGCATTATTTATGATTTGATTTACAAGTTTGGTCACTTAATTGTTAAATTTTGAACGTTTGTGTTGCATGTCTATTTGTATTATGTTGCTTATGACATGTTTATCTTTGTTGAATATGTGATCATGATTGTTGTATATACTTCTTAGTTGTTTAGCTCATATTTTCTTTGAAAATTTATGTTTGTGGTTGTTTATCCTTGGTTTTAGATACGTTTCGAACTATCTCTTTTTGATGTTGTCAAATGGGGCAAAGTTGTAATGAGTATACAATTGTTTTATTATTTTAGGGGGAGTGACACGTGTAGTCAAAGGGCGACTCAATATTTGTGAAAGCTTGTCAAGTATCAAAAAGGGGGAGATTGTAGTTGCATGTCTCTATTATCCAGTTATTTTGTTGCTTGTCTTATTGTTTTCATCTATGTCTTTTTTCGATTCATTGAGTCTTCTTCATGATTGCATTTCTCATATTTAGCATGCATAAAACTTGGTTATATTTGATCTTTATCAAAATGCTCTTTGATCAATAACATATGATAGTCAAATGAAATCCCCTTGTGTTTTTGAACAAATTGTTTTCAAGGTAAAATCTCAAAAAACTTTTGAAAACTTGAAAAATTGAGATTTTACCATATTTATTTGAATCGGCCAGTTTTAACTAAATTCATGATTCTGATCAAATTGGACAGTAGCTTTACTCAGCAATTTGATCCTGATCACCTTTCTAGGAACAAATTTTGTCTGATTTGATTCAAATCAGAACTTTTTTTTTATCTGGATCAATTTCATTTTTCACAAACCATGTTTGATTCTGTTTGATTTGATTCAAATCAAACTTTCAACATTATTCAAATTAAATCATTTTTCCTAACATCCTGTAAGTTTTGGGCAATTTGATTCAAATCATTTTTTTGTTCTTTATTCGAATTAGAAGGCTTATGATTTGAATCATGTATTCCTTGATTAGAATCAACTGGCATTTTTTTTCAATATTTAGGTATTTATTTCATTTCACTTTATTTTTTCTCATTTCATTCAAATCATATTTTTTTTGATTCTAATCTAACTTCCTTTTTTCAACCATTTTGTACGCTTAATCTCAAGCACATATAAATCATTTTGTGTCATCATTAAAACATAACACACATCATTCTGTTAATATTATCAGTGTGATTTTGTGTGAAAATCAATTTCCTCTGTTTTAATTGTCCAAAGGCTTGCTACAAATTTCTCACATCTTTAACTTCAATTGAGTTCAGAACCTGATAACGAGAGTTCTAAGATTGATTGAAGGAGGTGCGTGCTTGAACCTAACCGTTCTTGGAGATCTTGTTAAGTTTTCAGGTTATTAGCAAGAAAAATGGATTGCTAATGGTGGTGATAAATTCTATTGAAAAGAAGTAGGTTATTCTCTCCAGCATTTCCTTAGTTGTAACTGTGTGGAAGGATACAGATAAGAAAGAGTTCTTCTCAGAACTTTGTAAATCATCACCACTCAAGGAATCGGTAGGACCAAGGGGTTGATAGCTACACATGAAGGCTTGGAGCAGAATTGGTGTTTTTTGAAGGTTCAAGAAACGTATTCGAGTAAAGATTACATAGAAGAGTTTGACAAGATTGCTAGATACATGTCTAGATCAAAATTAGGAGATTTATTTTCTCAGCTGTATTCGAGAATTGATGATTGTATGAACTCTTAGAAATATTTGTCAAATAACAAGGAACTATGCAGGCTCCAATAAAAAATTATTGAAGAGTGCATGTAAGTCAAACAAGGACGAAAGTCGAAGCACTATAAATCTTTGTGTCATCTCTCCGTCTTATTATTTCATTGAAGCACTATAAACTGGTATGTTGAATACTTCTTGCATGTTGTAAGACATTCTAGGATTTTCGAAAAAAACCTACAAAAGCTTTTAAGAATCTTGATAGATCACTGTCTACCATATTAAACTTCACTTAAAGATTGATGAAACAGGTTGATGGTGCTTCATTTGATCTAAGAACTTATGCATACGTATTTTCCTCATTTAGCTCTCCAAAATCTTTCCTAACTCTGGACAACTCAAGATACAAAATCTTACTCCCTCTATCCAAATGTTCCAAGTTTCTATAAACTTCCTGAACTTGTTGGGTGCTATTCCTTTGAAACCTAGGAACATTTGTAAGGAATTTATCCCTTCAATAAAGATGTTATTCAGCTTGGTGGCCAAAATATCTTCACTTCTAACATCAAAGAACCAGACAATGTCATAACTATTATCCCTTACATCGCGTTTGGATGGAATCACTCCCCTAATTCGAGGAGTGGTAACAATTCTACCTTCTTAATCGCCTCCAACCATATTCACATGCTCTAAAGCTGGGTTTTCATTTTCCTAAAGTATGAATTTGTTTTAGGGTTAGAAAGTTAGAGAGGGTGGAATTTTTCTTTCTAACATTTATTTTTGGCTTAATACCTTTATTGGTCTCGTATCTTAATCTCGATGTTCATTTTGATCACTTAACTTTAAAAAGATTCATATTGGTCCCTTAATTTTAAAAAGCTTCATATTGGTCTCTTAACTCTTCAAAACGTTCAATATTAGTGTTTTTTGTCTAATTAGCGATGAATTTAGCGACTGATTTTTTAATTTTTTTTGTTGCTAATAAGACAAAAAAGAATTAATATGAAACATTTTAAAGAATTAAAAAATCAATATAGATCTTTTTAAAATTAAGGGAGCTAAATGAATTCCAAAATTAAAATACAGGACAAAAAAAATATTTTTTGTTTATTTTTTTCATAAATATTTTCTCTCTTAAAACGAAGTCGTGGTCATATAAACACGACCTCATCAGTTTTAAAAATAAATTTAAATGTTTTAGAAATTTTATAGAAAAACAAGATTGTGAAATGAAAAATTAAATTTAAAAATAGACTACAAGAACCTTACTTTAAATAAATAAAAAAAATCAAAATTTTCATTTAAACCTTTTAATTTTAAAAAATTAAAGTACCTTCTTTATTTTTAATCTATACGCATGAAATATATTAACATTTAATGTGTAGAAAACCGTTGAATTTGTGTTGACCGACTTAACACGAACCGCTGTAATATCAAAACAAGGACAAAGAACCCACAGGTTTAAACCAGAATCTAACCTTGGTACTGCATCATCTATATCTTCTATATAATATAATCCGTTCTCCACTTTCTTCTCTATTATCTACAACTCAATACACACAACAAAAACTTTTTAATACTAATCATCTCATAAAAATGGAAAATAGAGAACGGAAGATTATGGTAGCTGTTGACGAAAGTGAAGAAAGCATGTACGCACTTTCATGGTCCATCTCCAACCTTATTTCTGATACCAACAACAATAGCAAGCTTGTTCTTCTTTATGTCAAACCACCTTCTGCTGTCTACTCACTGGATTCCCAAGGTATATAATTCATTCATTTCTTCACTTTGCTTTGAGTAACTTGTTTATTAAATATTGTTATTAATTGTTGTGATCTTTTGATTATAGGGTATATATTTTCCAGTGAGGCAATTGATGCTTTGGAAAGATACAGTACAGAGTTAGCTAAATCAGTGATGAAAAGAGCTGAAGCTATTTGCAGAAACTTTGATGCTGCTAGTGTATTGCTCAACTCATGAATTCCACTCTATTTTTATTTTTTTTCAATTTTCTTATCGAGTATGAACTTTGGATTTGATTTGCAGATAAATATTGAGAAAGTAGTTGGAACTGGGGAAGCCAAAAGTGTTATATGCAACGCAGCAAAGAAACTAGAGGTTGACACCTTAGTTATGGGAAGTCATGGATATGGATTCATTAAAAGGTAACCTCAAATATATTGTTTAGTTGCTTTCTGTTTATTTGGTGTTTTTAAGGAATCTTGGTGTATGTGTGTAATTAACTTTGATGGTGTGAATTTGTAGGACACTACTTGGAAGTGTGAGTGATTACTGTGCTAAGAATGCTAAATGTCCTGTTGTAATTGTGAAGCAACCGTAGTTCATATTAGAATTTGGTTTTCATCTTAAGGAAACTTACATAGCTGTGTAATTTTATAATTTGTGTAATTATTTTGTACTTTAAATGGTGAATAATATAAAAGTAGTCCCTTGTTATGTTTTCCAAGTTGCTTTGTTGAAGTTTTCATAAATGGTAGTAAGAAACTGTTTTCTCCCAACAACAAAAAAATTGCTTTGGATTGTTGAGTCTCCATATCGGTGTAAAGTGCATTGTTTGAAATCACTAAATGACAGAACAGAAAAGTAAAGTATTCAGATAAATGCCATTGCAGTTAGTTCTCGTCTATCTGTATTAAAATCCAATAGAGATACCGTAAGTAATCAGGTTCATTGAAAATCAGCTACCCACCTACTCAAAATACCACTAGCATGTAATCTAATTATTTTTAAGAGCTTCGCTATTAGTTAAATGTAGAGTTGTCAAATGGGATTAGTAAAATTTAGAGTTGTCAAATGCGATTAAGTTAAATGTCAGAGTTGTTAAATGGAACAGTCTGACCTAATCTTCTTCGGTTCGGTGGGCCAAAATAAATAAATGGGTTGAAGTGAGTCGGTCCAATTATTTCACAGACGGAAAAAAGTGAACGCAGCCTAGTTTCTAATGGGTCATGCGGTTCAATGATTCAATCTAATAGGCTAATCCGGCTCTTATTTCAATATTATTGTTTTAAATTGAGAAACATTTTTAATGCATTTTATATATTTCTAGTTCACCACATAAAAAACTAAAATGTCTAAAGATTTTGGAGAAGCATCTTCGGATGTACCTTAAAACGTTAAATAATTTAGAGATGCATCTCCGTAATATTTTAAAAGACATACACCATGCATTAACTCTGAAAGGCATTTGACACACATGTTGTTCCAGAGATGCATCTCTTTTTATTTTATAAAAATACATCTCTGTGACCTATCATAACAATGCATGTTATGTTTTGTTTATGTTTATTCAGATGAAGATTTATAAACGTTATGTACCATGTGATGAGATTTAAACCATACAATAGATATGTAAAAAATAACGTATGTAAATCCAGATGGTCCAAAAATGTCATATTTAAATAAAGTCGAAATACACGATAAAGTAGCATGAGTTGAAAATATAATACAGTCCATAATGAATCCAAAGTATAACTACTATATACTACTACACTACTGTGTATGTCAGATTACATCTCATTTGACTCCTCTAGATCCTCGAACTCCTCGTCCTTCAATCCCCCGTCCTCTGGCGTTGTCTTTGGTACATCAATGTCTCTCGTGCCTCCGTCATGATGGAATCTAGGACCTGCCTCACATCAGGCTCATCAGGGAAGATACCTTTGTAAATGTCTGCCTGCATATTCTCCACTATGCGACGACATTTAGGAAAGACATCTTCATCATGATCTAACTATGTCTGCTCTTCCTTTATTAACTCCTGATGAGCTAGTCACGGTGGATCTCCTAGAGCAGCATGCACCATATACAAATGTGACACCCTAAAGAGCCACCTAATGTACCCGTCGACGTATCTCTAGTTGCTCTCAGCTATGGAACTTTATGCCTCCTTCGATATCAGAGGACTCTCAAAATCATCAAACATGGCATCCATCTATCTGCGTGCCAAAGCAGGAGGAGTAGAGACAACAGGGTGTCTGAGAATGGTCTAAGTGTAGCAAAACTGCCGCATCACGCGCTAGGGAAGATGAGAAGCAATGAGACGTGGTCGGCAAGCCAACCATCCCGAGTATAGTACTATCTTGTCATATGTATGCGTCTCACGGTAATCCACATAGTTGTTGAAGTGCATGTCCTCTGCAACCAAGCGTTCAAAATACAGTTTGAACGACTCTATCATCTGGTGCCCTCTGAGCAAGACAAATGCAATAGCACGGGGCATATCCTCAGTGTCATTCAGTACACCCGCCTAGCCGGAGATGCGCGGGAAGTGATGGAGGATCCAAGCCTGAAAATTTTGGAACATACGAATCATCAGTAATGACGTTGCTAAAAATAACACATAAAGATTAAATGATCAATAAATATTACCGCTAGTAGTGTGATGTTGCCTGTGACCTACTTCATCTTCCACATACAACCCTTTGATAAACTCGAGTAGAACTAGACCAAACGTACATCCTCTATGTATACCTTTTTCAAGACTTCAAACCTAACATGAGCCCCCTGGTTCTATCCATCTCTGCCAGCGCATCTGTTGGGACAACTCCCAGATAGTCTACCATCTTCTCGAGTACATCGTATTTCCTAATACTCCTATGATCTAGAAGTTTCCCCTTATCGGAAGATGTAGAAAACACGACACATCATCAATTTTGATAGACATCTCACCAAGTCAGAGATGAAATGACGAGTTTTCAGTGTGCTATCTCTCCATGAATGCATTAAGCATCTTGTGGTTGAACGAAATATAATCGGTCATGCACAAGTCCTTCATCCCAAATAGGGACAAAGCTACCTGAAACCACTTCTCATCCTGCTGAGACAAGCTAGGAATCTTTTGCCCATGGTTAAGATTCTTCAACGGATCACAGTCCTGCAGAAAAATAAATCAATGTCAGAAACTTGTAAACTAAAATAAACGTATTTAAATAAACTTGTAATATATTAATAAATGTAAATTAAAAAGAATGAATCCAACTAATGTTACCTCTACATCCCATATATGTTTGGCAGTATGGTCTAGATACAGAGACAGTAGTGACAACTCTATAGGGTCTCTTTCAAATGGCTATGGCTCAGCATCCTCAGAAGCCTCACCATCTAGAGGTGGCAGTGGCTCAACAGTAACATGTGGAATTGGCTCCTAAGCATCATCTATTGGAGGTGCCACTGATACCTTCGATACCACCGATGACTGGGGTACCTCTGGTGCTTGAATAGGTGAAACCTGGCGCCTTCCGGAGGATGGCTGGAGTGATGCGTTAGTAGGTGAAACATGTCTTCTACGGGAAGAAGAAGATGGAGAAGCTGATTCTCTGAAGTAGATGTCTCTGCATGGCCAGTGTGAACAAAAGCCATCAAAACCTGACTCTTCTCCCTTCCCAATGATGCAAGATGTGAAAACCTCTTGTGCATTAGTCTATCGTGTCTATCACCCATAATACATGTACGTTAAAGTAAACTAGTCAATTAGTTCTAGCAAGTAACACTTCAAACAAGAAAAGGAAAAAAACTAAAACAAACTGCTAATTTTCGGAGATGCATCTCTGGTTACGCAGAAAATTAAACGTTGAAAATTTTCGGAGTTTCATCTTCGTATTTTTCTAGAACACCTCAAGTGCTTCAATGGCGGCAATGCAGACATGCAAACACAAAAAAAATGGTTTGATCATCATTTTTAACAAACAAACATGTTTTACACTATGTATAAATTATCATTCATACAATTTCTACTCATTTCTTACCTTAATCATCAATTTCTACTCATTTATACAAAAACTCAAAAATTTCAAAAAATATAAAAGAAATATAAATTTAGAGTTTACCTCACACTTTGACGATGTCTCTGATTCACTTCATATTCATTAAAGATCCTTTTAGCTTGATTGTTTGATTTTTTTATTAAATTTTTTTTGAGAGACTGATAAATTTTTTAGTTTTTTTAGAAATAAGGAAGGATAAGGGTTTTGACAAAATATAAGCTCCAATACCTTTTGGAGATGCATCTCCGAAAAACGTTGAAGATGCATCTCCGGATTATTTTAACGTTAAGTCAGAATTGGATGCACCCAAAGATGCATCTCTAGAATCTGGGGGCATTTTAGTATTTTCACGTATTTCCTAAGAATAATATAGAGTGCATTAAGAAATTTCCTAAATATTATATGTTTGATGATTAAAAGTGTATTTATCTAATTTTCTTGACTGAATTTCTGTATATATGATTCTGTTTATGTGTGCATGCTTGTGTGCCATTGTTAGAGTTGTTGAAATTTTGAATATACACATGAATTGATGAAATTGAATGAATAATTGGTGTGATGCTATGAATTATCATGTTATAAAGATGTTATTATATATGGTATTAATTTTTGGGCGTGTTTGGGTGATTGGAGATTGAAATTTGGAGTTTTAGGGGATTCCTATGGCAAAGCGCATAATTTTGCCTTCTGGTGTAGTGTGACGGGCGTCACCCAGATGACGAGTTACCCCTCATGCACCTTAAGACGCTAACGGGTGTCAGCACTATGACGGGGAGATCATCATGGTCTCCAGGCTTGTTTTCCATGCCGGTTGTCAGTAAGATGACAATCTGGGGGTTTTTGGTAGGTGACGGGTTACCCGCCAAACTGTTAGAAGGGGCGTTCTCGTCCTTGTTTGTGTAGTTTTAGTTATCAATTCATATTTTTGACGTTATACTATTGTTCGAGTGATAATTGGTGATTGTTTGCTTATGTTGAAGTGGTTAATTAACTATTACTAATTTAATTAATTTTGTAGCATTATCATTATTAAATGATAATTGATTTACTCATACGTTAATGTTGTATGATGTGAATATGATGGGTATTGTTGTTGAAAATGCATGAATATATGCTGATTAATTATTGATTTGTTGGTGTTCATTGTTGTTATTATTGGTGGATAGTAATTCATAAGGGCCAATTACTATTGTGTGTTAATGCATGTTGTTTATGGTTAGAAGAGGGTCGTAAATATTATTATTACTATTGTTGCATTGATTTGTAATACATGCATCATTGTGTTGTGTCGCTGAAAGAGGCATGTCCGCTAGTTCAGAAAGGGGGACTGATGGCTTGTCCTAAGCTCCGAAGGGGGGCTCATGGGTTCAGAAGGGGGGACTCGGTTCCAGAGAGAACCAAATGTTTAGTTGGTACCACATACATCAGTGTCACTTTGTGTCGTGAGTCGAATTACATGTATATTTTTATATTGTTGTGAATGAGTGTAAGATTATGGTGATGTTGATTGTGTATTGGATGTAAGTTACTTTGTATGTTTCTCTACCTTCATGTT